CCACCACCACGGCAGGCGTTTTGCTAAAGCCCCTCCAGATATCCTGAGGGCCACCAGAAACCAAGGGAGGGGGCCGAGGACACCCAGGCTCTCCAGGCTACGAGGCATCGGGCCAGGACATTGCAGCGGTTCGTCCATGCCCTGGCCATCTCCACAGGGACACCGGCTAGTGGCCCACCATGGCAGGTAGGGAGGGAGAGTGGCAGGACTAAAATGCAGCCGCTTCTCTCTCCGGGGACTTCAAGCTCTCAGGGAAAACCAGACCCCTGAGAAGCCCTCCCCTGGGGCTCGGCCGCAGCCTGGGCTGTCAGAGCCACGATGGGCTGCCCCACAGCCTCTCCCAGCCTCAATTCTGGCATCTGTGAAATGAGGCAGCTGCTTTCCATCCCTGGGGTTAGTCGTGAGGAGCCCCTGGGCTGCGAAAGGGCTCCCCATGTGGCAGGAGCACTCCCCCTGACTCCCAGAGCCCTCAACCTGGGGGCAGGACGAAGGTCAGGAATATAACTTCTTGGCAGGAGCTGGCAGCGGCAGGAAAACCTACAAGAAGGTGTTCTGACATGGAAAGCTGCTCCACCTAACTCCAGAACAAGCAAAAGATAAACGGAGCGTCTGAAGTGGAAGCCCCGCTCCTCACGTCCAAGACTGGCAGGGTCTGGGTGATAGGTGACACCGGTGGCCGTGGGCACGGGGGGGCAGGCGCACCTAACTCTGCTGAGAGGTGGGTGCAGCGGGATGACCGGTGGAGGGTCCCAGCACCAACTGTTCTCAAAGTCACGGAGACACGGGCCCTCTCTGGAACTTTCTGCTTGGACAACCCAGGCATAAGGACCTAGGTACCTGCGTATTTGGTTGGGTGGAGACAGACATGCATCAGAATGAAGCAGGCTAACTGAAGGGAAAATCAGCCTCATGTGGGAAATGCCAGTTAGATTTCCCAACCATTTCACTGATTGATAGACTAACAAAGGGTGTCATCTTCCATGCCCACCCCATATTCAGGCCGCGTGTCTCCCCTCATTGTTCCCAACAGCCTGATGGGAGGGAGGACCATAAATATCCCCATTTTGCAGATGGACAAACTGAGACACAGAATGGTCGAATAAAATTCATCCATGGACACACGGCTGGGATGTAGCAAAGACAAAGCATGTAACCCCAATGCTCTCTGTCTCCAAAGTACACTGCTAAAAGAGAGTATTTTTCTTAAAGAAAAAATAAAATGTTAAGATACAGGACAGCAAACCCCGGTTGACGGTGTGCAGCGGGTCAAACAAATGACAGCCCCCATCAAAAACGTGTCCACTTAGAACCTGTGAATGTGACCTTCTTTAGATAATTTTTGCAAATATAATTAAATTATGGATCCGGAAATGAGATCATTCTAGATTAGGATGGGCCCTAAATCCAATGACAAGTGTCTCTAGAAAAGAAGACATGACAAGACCAGACACAGGCAGAGATTGGAGGGATGTGTCGATAAGGCAAAGAACACCGAGGTTTGCCAGCAGCTCCAGAAGCCGGGAGAGACATGGAACATTTCTCCCTCAGAGGCTCCAGAAGGAAGCAACTTGGCTGACATCTTGATTTCAGACTTCTGGCCTCCAGAATTGGGATATAATAAACCTGTGTCATTTTAAGCTGCTCTGCTTTGTGGTAATTTGTTATGGCAGCCATGGGAAACTAATACTGGGTGCAATTTGCTCCCCACTGTCCCTGCGTCCATTTTCTTTTCTGGACGTGGCTGACTGTCCCTCCGGACTGCTGCCCCTATGCTCCTTCCACAGCTCCAGTGTGATTCCAAGTGTACAGATTCAGTCAACCCATTTTCCCTACTGTTCCCATTTCACAGATAAGGAAACTGAGACCACCAGCTTGGGTCATAGTTCCAGCGGACCCTTGGAGCCCACTGGGCCACAGCTAGTCCTGTGACTATCAGGAAGGCAGCCAGGTCAGGACAGGGCCCAAAGCCTGGTCACTTGGCCCTGGAGCTTCAGGGCTCAGACACTCTGCTCCAGGACAAGGGCCAGGCCCCATGGGTACCTGTGAGGCTGTGGCTGGCAGGGCCAGCAGAGGAAAGGAAGAGGGCTGCCAGGGTGTCCTCATCACACAGCCCCTAGGGAGGGGTGAGACCACTCTGCAGCTTCCCCATGGACTGCTGGGGCACCCCCTCTAGTGGTCCTGAAGGCTCCCAGGGCCCAACAGGGGGCCTGGCCGCCCCAGGCAGGCAGGTGCTGCCGACAGCTTGAAGCTCAGCAGGCCAAGAAAATGGGCATAGCTGAGCCTCCGGCCCGAATGGCAAAGGGCGGGGGAGCAGAGAAAGAGAGGGCTGCCCTGCCCTGCCCTGCCGTGACCGCAGTGCCAAAGCCAAGAGGGGATGAAGAAGTGGAGGCCTAGATGCAGGCACAATATTCCTGTCCATTCTGTGAATGAGGAAACTGAGTCTTGGGGTGGAAGAGCAGCAAGGGTGATCCACACCTCTCTCAGACTCAGACTCAAACTAGCAGATCCTCTCCAGCAGGGGCCCTCAGGAACAAGGCAGCCACTCTCCTTCAGATTCAGCTCAAACCAGGTGACAGGAAGGACAGGGCTGGCCCAGCAGGTGGTGGACCCTGAGATGGACAAGCTCAGAGATGACTCGGCAGGGCGGGGCAGGGTGGGAGTACCAGTTTCCAGAACAGAGGCCCTTCCCCTAAACCCCAAATCCCATAGTACTGTGAAGAAGCCCGTGATGGCAGGGAGCACCTTCCCCGTGATGCTCAGGCTGTGCTGAGTGAGAGCTGGGTTGACGCAGAGGGGGTGGGATCCGGCCCTGGGGCTGCACCATTGGGAAGACTGCAAAATGCAGATCCCAGGCTCTGCCCCAGATCCTCCAAACCAGAATTTCTGGGGATGGAGCCAGGAGATATGGATTCTCCCAATGCTCCCAGAGAGTTCTGAAGAAGGAGGTACCCCATTGAGGATTCGGCACCTCTTCCAGGGCTCAAATGCGCCAATTCTGCAATTCTAGGTTCTCTGTCTCAAAAGAGGCTACAACTTCACAACTCAAAGAATCCATGACCTGTGCACTTGGGTGGCTCTGTACATTCAAAGACTCCACAGCTAAGATCTGGAGACTCTGTGACTCAGCCCTCAACCCAGTGCCCATCAAAGGAGAGAGGACGTCCCTGGGTCTGGAGCACCAGGGCACCAGCAGGGACAGGAGGCGTGTTTATATAACTACATTCCCGAGTTTGCGTAAGCACTCAGACAATCCAGAAAGTTCTCTAATAATGGTCCCATCAAGAACATAAAGCTTTGGGGCGGGATGAGGTGGATACAGGATTTGAGGAGGAGCAGTTCACTTTCCCCCCTTACGCTGGTTTCATACTTTACCACGAGCATATAACACTCAGGTAGTTAAAAACCAGAATTGAGTAATGCAAAAATATGACACAGTCGATGCTGACTTCCGTGTTCGTTCACTTATTCTTTTCATCCCCTTTCACCCCCCAGACGTCAGCCACCAGCGCAGGTACAGGGCACAGTGCCCGACTCGGGAGCCAAGGGTGGCAAGCACGAACGGCACCCGCACTCCGACTGGCCGGAGCCTGTGCGCTACCATCCTGCCCCGCTCCGAGACCTGTCGGAGAGGTACAAGCAGGGGCCGGCAGAAGAGATGCCAGGAGCTGGTCCAAGGGTGTCATGTTGAGGGGGTTCCCAGGCCCTGTCCATGCCCTGCCTCCACAAGGCCACAGCCAAGGCCTCAGGGAAGCCCTACACCCTGGGCACCCCCAACAGCACATCCGCCTCTGGCTGAAAGGTGACCCAGGTGACACAGACGGCCCCGTGCTCTCCGGGCCTCGCCGAGTACTAGTCCCGGGAAGGGACAGGGCCAGCTCCCCTCAGGCCTCTCCAGTTCTCCTCAGGCCCCCCACGGGCCTGGTCTTGGCCTGGAACCAAGAGACCAGAGGCGCAGGGTCGGGGGCAGGAGGGAGGCGGCCGCTACCACCCAGAATGGCAGCTGCTGGCAGTGATTTATTTTTGCTTTAAGTGCCGGAGAATTGCAGGGCTGGAGCAGCCAGCTCAGGGGGCTCAGGCTGCAGCTGGGAGGAGAGGGAGGTGGGCAGGAGGTGGGGGCTGCCCAGCCCCTCCCTGACCTCTCTTGTCCTCGGCCTCTGAGCCTCCCCATCACACACACACACACACACACACACACACACACACACACACACAGCTCTCTACCCGCTCCCTCCTCCTGGCCCCAGTTCTCCTAAGTGAGTCTCCAAACAGCTGCAAGGAGCTCTTGGGGGACAGTCTCGACCACTACCCCTCCCCCACCTTGCTTCCAAGTTCGTTGTAGCACCTCCAGCTGGAGTCCTCTCTCTCTGGGCATCAGCCTGCCCGCTCCCACGGGTGGAATGTCAGGTCGTCCCCTTTGCCTAGGACACCCACTCGCAGAGCAGGGGTGGGTCAGAGGTGGACGACGGTCACAGACACTCTAGCAAGAGCTCTGATTCTCATTACGAGACACGTTCCCTTTTCTGCCCCAGAGGAGAGCCTCCGGAGCCAGTGCCCTGCCCTGGCACATCTGGCCAAACAGCCTGGCCCCCCCACCTCCCCACCCCACCCCACCGCCACCCCAAGGCCCAGCGCCTTGTAACCTGTCCACTCATCCACAGAAGAGGTGTAAGGCTGAGCTTGTCAGAGGTGACAGGATGATCCCGGGGAATGGAAGGGGCTGTGCTTTGCCAAGTAGAATGCTTGTAGGTTCTTTTTACAACTGGGAAGCTGCTAAAGTTGATAATGGCAAATCTTGAAACAAAAAAAATTTTAAAACCTGGATGTTATACTCAAGAACAGAGACTGGGCAAAGGAGGTGAAACACACTGACAAAACACAAATGGCCAATGGGCATGTGAAAATGCTTAACTGGGCAAGAAATGGAGACACTGTTCCCTCCACCACCCGAACCCCTGTATCCCGGCCTCCCCACATTTTATTGAAGAAAAGCAGAGATTTACCAACAAGAAGAGAAGCGCTGAGGACCGAAGGGCCCTGACTCTCTGCACCTCAGTTTGCTTAGATCTGCAATGAGAATGGCTCCTGCCACCCTCCCAGGGTTGGGGTGGGAGATATCCTAAGCTGGAAGCAGGCCAAGGGGCAGGGATGTGGCAAGGTTCAGAGCTCGAAGCAGGTGAGGTCAGGCAAAAAGAGCTCAGAGTCGGGGCCTGAAATAAATGCCAACTCCCTCCTTCTCACATAGACAGATGGCAGACCAAGGGCTCAGAGGAAAGGTCTAAAAGCTGGCTCTGCCCCCCATGAGCCCCACAATTCCAGGATAGTGATGTCATCTCTCTGAGGCCTGGTTTTCTCATCTGCAGAATGGGACAGTAAAAAAAATAAAATAAATTAAAAAATAAATAAATAAATAAATAATAAATAGGACAGTAATTCTGGCTACCGCTGCTATGAAGCCCTGACCAGATATCAAGGACCATGCATGGATGACCCTACCAACCCATCCCCCACGTGTTTGCTGAGCACCGCTGTAGGCACTGAGGACATAACTGTGAACAAACTGGACCAAAACCTCTGCACTTCAGGAGCTTCCATTCCAGCAGGGGAGACAGGCAATACACAAGATAAGCAAATTAAACATCATGAGGCAGCTGGCTTTATATCTACAACAGAAAAAAAGCAGGAGAGGGACCCTGGGGAAAGGTATGGCCATGGTATGATCCAGGAGCGGCCTCACAGAGGAAGTGGCATTTGGACAAGACTTGAAGGTGGTGAGGGAGGAAGCTGTGTGGACATCGGGGGAGGAGTGTTTTGAGCAGAGGGAGCAGCAAGTGCAAAGGCCCGGGGGCAGGAGGAGGCCACCTATGTTGGAGACACAGCAAGGACAGAGGCAGGAAGGCAGCAGTAGAAAGAGGGGGCAGTCATGGAGACCAGATTGTGTGGGGCCCTGTGGACCACAGTGAGGACTGTGGCTTTTACTCTGAGTTGGGGCAGGAAAGAAAAGGACCCCAGGAAGATCCTGAGCCCAAGGCTGAGATGAAAAGACAGACTATGTCAGGTACACTGTAGGTGTTTAAGCAGCCATGCCACTCCAAAGGCTTTATTTTGTGCTCCCTGGGCCCTCTCCAAGCCTGAGTCCTCCAGAGAGATCCAGACTTCAGTCCAAGATGATTGAGAGGGACAGGTCCCCAGCAGGAGCCAAGAGGCTGGGCCCACTGATCCTAGGACAGCATTAAGGCACAGCCAGGGCAGACCTGCTCCCTGGGAGCAATGAGAGAGGGGCTCCTGTTCCTATCTGGCCATGCAGACAGTACTCCATCTGGTGTGGAGGACTGAAAGCCATTAGGGGGCTGGCCCAGGGGTCCCCAAGGTGTCCTCAGCTTCATGCTGCCTCTGCAGGTGCCACTCAAGCACCTGCGCAGGAAGACCTGAGTTGTGGCACATCAGTGGGGGTGGATGGAGAGAAGGGAGGAGGGGTACAGAGGACACAGCGGGAGCAGGAGGCCTGCATCTGAGGCCGTCTTCTTCTGCGGCCCTCCATGGGCCTCAGTTTCCCCAGGTGTCCCAGGGAAAGCTGCCCTGAAATGACAGATTTCAAGGCTCTAGCACCACAAATGCTCACATTCCCCTCCTTCATGGGTTCCCTTTGCAAGCTGCCATTTCTATACAGATTCCCCCCTCCATCCAGAAGCTCCCTCTTCTACTCTCCCCTCACAGGTGTTCTCAGGGGCCTCCCCAGCAGAGGCTTTGATCCCACTTCACAGATGACAGGCTAAATAGTAAGAGAAGTGACTCAGCCACAGTCACACCACAGGCCTCACTCGCCTTGGCCATCTGCCCCAGAGCCTCCTCCCAAACAGTGAGATGCTCAAGGGAAGGGGCTGGGTCTCCACCTATTCCACCGCAGTTTATTTAGCACCTTCTGTATGCCAGACTCAGCACATGGTGCCAGGGTCTCTGCCCCCAGAGCTGGCAGCCTGCCATAGATCATGGCACCCCACAGAAGAAGGAGCCCCCATCGACGCTTCCACAGCCACACAGAGTGGCCCAGACACAGGCCCACCAAACATCTCCCGAGCACTGACGGCAGGCCCAGGCCTTCACAAGGGGCACATGGCAGGGCACTCGGAGGGCACTCAGGCACAGCACGGCCGGCCTGGCACACAAAGGCAGCCGGGCCGAGTGTCTGCGGCGTGAAGGAAGGTGCGGCTCTGGCCCTGGGACGGCACCAGGGCTTGGCATCGGAGGGACACAGGTTCCAGTCCTCCCAGGGCCTCCCTGGGCCTCAGATCTCCTGTCTGTACAATGGAGCTAGTGCCACTCTCCGTACTGGCAGACCATTAGGAAATTAAATCAGGTGGTGGAGTGCTGGGCCCTCAGCCAGTGCCCAGTGAGGGCTCCAGCCCTGCCTGCGGCCCCAGCTCCTCTGGAAAATCTGCCTGCCTCTGCCTGGCACCCCACCATGCCACCCCCACCCCCACGGCTCCTCTGAAGCCTCCAACCTCCCTGCCCTGCCCGCGGCCCAGTTTCCAGCCGGCTGTCTTTCTTTCATCTTCGGCCTTGGCTGTCTTCCTATCACGCAGCCAATTCCCCTGGTGCAGCCAGCTCGTGAGAAGGAGCCCACGCCCACCACACCTTCGAGTGGCCGGCCCAGCCTCCACCCCTCCTGCTGCCCCTGCGCTGCCTCCCTCTCGGCCTCTTTTCCCTGCCAGCCCATGGCAGGGCTCCAGCTGCAGGCCCCAGGGAGGGGCAGGTGTGCCCATGTGTCACTCACAGCAAAGCCCTGGAGGGGGGCCCAGCGGCACATACCAGGTGCACCTGTCAGAAGGCAGGCCCGGCCCAGAGCCAGGCCTGGGAGCAGTGAGAGAAGGGTGGACATCAGGTGGGCTCTGGGGGCACCAGCAGCCTGCAGCCCTGGGGCTCGGCAAGGGCCACAGAGGTTGCCGGGAGTGACGACGCAGTTGCTTCTGCCCCAGGCGTGTGCCAAGGCATCCGGGTGCCATGCCCGGTGCCACCGACTGTGGCCCGGGGCACTGGAGGGCTGGCTGGCCCAGAGGAAAGTGCCCGCAAGCAGAGTCCGCCCCAGCACCGCATAACCGCAGGGCGATGCTGATGTTATTACTATTACTCCTCTCATCGCTGCTGTCAGTACCAGTCCCCTGCCTCAGGGCCACCAGTGCTACCTTGGTTTGCTTCAGGAAAGCTGTGGCCCCAGGACAAGAAGCCTGACAGGGGCAGCCTCCCCGGCTCGGGAAGACCGAGGTGGAGGAGTCTGCTCAAATCCCTGACTCGCTGTCTGGCTTTGGGCAAGATCTTGTCCCTCTCTGGGCATATCCTTCTCCCAGCACAGCACAGCTCACTGAACATCCCTCCTCCACCAGGCACCGACCTGCACCTTCCTGAGCAACTGGAAGCCGTACGGCAGTCTGGTGTGGCATGTGGGCATGGTGGGGAGGGGCTCCAGGGAAAGGCCAATAAAGTCAGAGCTGTGCCAACCCCTAGCCTTTACACAGTACCCTCTATATGTATTCAGTGGTGCACCAGGGGAGAAGGGGGTCCTTCCTGTTGTCTGGCACACCAGTGCACCCGATGCCATCCCCAGGAATGCGCAAGCAGCTCTCTCCTCCCAAAGGAGTCTTGGCCCCACCTGAAGGGAGCCCTTCCAAGGTTCCTTTCTTGGAGATGCCAACCTCCGGTCCCCTGGCTGTAGGGAAGGGCCACCAGAAGGCTGAGGGCAGACTGCCGAGGATTCTCTTTGGGGTCCCAGCGGGAGGAGGGGGGTGATTTTCTCAGAACAGAGGAGAGTGCATTCTACAAAAAAAGACCATAGGCCTCCAGTGGCCCCAGGGCAGGGAACTCCTCCCTGACCGTCTCTGACCCTCTCTGGCTACCTGGCAGCGGCCCAGGGAGGAGGCCACATCCTGGGGTCACAAAGGAGCAACCTAGCACAAAGTGAGCTTGGAGTCTGAGGCAAGGGAGCGGGAATGGCCGTCCTTCGGAACCTAAGGGAGGAGTGAGGGGTAGGCCGGAGGCTAACGCCTTCTGGGTTCTACCTTCGAGGAGGCGGCTGCTGCTTTCAGCGGCGAGTGGGCGCCTCCACACTCCTGGGAGACAGAGCCTGTGAACCTGGGTTCCGGGTGATAGGTATGGGGGACAGCAGGTGCCCAGCACTTTGTCCCAGGGCTCCCATCTGGGCACAGGGAGCATAGGATAAAGTAGAAACCGTCACGGGCCGCACTGTGCTCCTAGATGGGTACACCCCCTAGGAAATGGGAAACAGGATGGCTCCAAGTCCCAGCAAGTCCAAGCTCTGAGGAGGGAGGAGAACCTCCCAGAACAGAAGACCACATCCAAAGAAACACTTTCCTGTGACCTCCCATGCCAAACACAGGTTTTAAAATATTCACATGACTGGTGCACACTCAAACAGAACAGGCAGCACAGACATGTGCTCCGGCCTCAACTCACATCCGAAGGGCCCCCACCGCCCCCAGCAGCTCCCCACCCCAGGTGTCACTCCACAGAGCCCCCTGGTTCCTACCCAGGTTCCTCATAGGGCATCCAGAGCAGAGCTGAGCACATAGGGAGGACTCCTATCCTGAAACCCTGAAACAGCTTCTCAGCTGAGGGGTCATCCCTTCCAGGATCAAGACTGACTTCTAAAACCAAAAAGGTGCGGCTGGAGTTGCCCACTCGCTGGCTAGCAGAAAACACCATTTCCAGAATGTTTTTTACTCCATTAAAGCGCAGGAGGTGGGAAAGAGAAACGACTCCAAGGACCCCGAGGTCTGGGGCCTGAGGGCATCTTCAGGCCGCTCCTAGATTGTGTCCCCCTCTGCACCCCCACTCCCATCCCGGGGTCTCCGGGAAGGTCACGCGTAGGACTGATGCCGCGCGCGAAAGTGCCTCCCCACGCTGCCTCCCGAGCCCCCGTGTGCAAGTCGGCCAGAGGGGGGCCGAGGGCGCCTCAAAGTTTCCCGGAGCGCCCCCAGGACGAAGGTTAGCAAGGAACAAAGTTCCCTGGTGGCATTAGCCGGAGACATGGCAGGGGAAGAAAAGCTCGCAGTCAGCATTTCCTCCGATGGCTCACCAAGGGAGGAAAAAAAAAAAAAAAAGGAGGAAGAAAAAAACCCTCGCGCCCCACCTTCCCTGTTGCAGCACCACCTCGTGCTCGCTCCGGGCCGGGGAGAGGCCTCCGGGGAGCTGGAGTCGGGCCCCCCGGGGGCCGGACGCCCGGCGGCCGCGCACTTACCTGGGTCAGTGCCCCGGGCGCGGCGCGCTC